TCCTTACTGGGGTCATGTGCGGTCATTTGTTGATCCAGGAGTGTTGTGCCTTGCGGGAGAGTAGAATGAAAGGCTGGAGACTCGCGAACCCGATAGCACCTAACGAAACCTGCTTCAACGAGATTTGAGGCACGGGTAATACGAGGCTTCTGGTGAGCCTACCGTCTCGACACAAGTCGGTAATGCTGCCACCCATCTAAAGAGCCCTAGAGGATTCGTACCTACTATATAGTACAGGGGGCTGATAGAAACTGCAAATGCATCGTGGTAATCCCCCTTAAAGAGTCGCCTTAATTCTCACACCCGTGGCGCTGATTGCTTGACGCTGACGTAGTATGATTTCACGGGGTATTTGTGGGGGGGCTTGAGGAGAAGTTTGCAGAACCTAGCCTGATACGTGTCATAGACTGGCGGTGTCCATGCTCCGCGCCGGGTAGTATATGCCTCACACACCGGGCGCAGCTTCCGCCCTCGGTTAATCAGGGTGACCAAGTCTCTACGATAGCGGATGACTAACCACGAGCGGGTGGTGGACATCGCTTCTCGATACGCGGTCTGGTACCGAGCTTGAACACGCACTCTTTAGCAGCGCCGGGGGTACCGCGTTACATTTAAAAAGGCCGGTCCTTGTTAACAGTATAATTCCTCACAGCCTATCAGATGTACGCGAACCCACAAGTCAATCTCGAAGACTGAACAGGTTCCCTGAAGCGTGTATATAAAACGTTGGCATGGGGGGGCCCGCAAAGGGGGCTGCTATTAGACTAAACACCTAACCTCTAGGTTTTCCTTCTGCTAACCCACATCTCGACCGTAGGAAATTAGAATGTCAAGGTCCGTATACAGTCATGTTTTTACCACTGCATCGTAATAACTAGGCGCGTAGGGATCATGGTAACATGTTTAAATCCTCTACGGAGATGTGAGATACCCACTACAGGAGAAACTCCGGTCCACCTGGGTTCGCAGACGGACTGAAGCCCTAAGTGATGGGGGGAATAGGGTAACTAGTTTAGATACCCCGAGGCCAGCCAGCACTAATGCTAACGGACCGTCCTATAACACCTTAGTCTCCAACAGGCTGGTCCAAAGTTTGTTGATCGGCCGCCTCTCGGAGATGTATTCCCTATCCAGTGCACGGGTCTTGTAGGCAACGGATATGCTCTTTGATATTTACTAGCAACCGATCGTAGTTATGACGGTTATTAAATATGTCGGATACTAAATATAGGAGGCGCGCTGGTGGCTTCCGTGCATAGCGCGAGAAATGTAATCTTCCTGATCCCAAGTAAATCGAGTTGAGCTCGGGTATTACCGGTTTCTCAGCTATCATCAATGAGCCGCTATTGAGCGCATGTGTACTATGTATGCAGTCTGCATATACGAATGTCGCCCTTTGCCGCGTGCTCCATTGAAGAGAGGCCGCCACTTTTACAGAGGGGACGGGCGGGAACCCTAATACCTTTCAATCAGAGTACAGCCTTGCGGGAGACTATTACTGCCAGGCATCGTACAATATCCGACAGGCACCGACTCTCTTCCACTTTAAACTAGCGCATCCCGGAGGGTTGGGCCACCTTTTCCGACAGATAAAAGAGTGTACAACCGGATACATGCACAAGTCGTATGCCAGCTACTCAGGATCGATTGCATTCGACATCTCCTGAGGCAGGTTCCAGATCACATTGGATTTGGCTATTTATATTGTTGACTTCGGCTTCCGTTTGCGTTCGGGGCGCATGGAGAATCATGCGGTACTAATTACTCTACTTTTGACAGGGCTCTTTAATTCCGTCAGTGTATATGCTTGGTGGTTTTTAAAGTCGACCTGTAAGTCGATCTGTTTTGTATAAGGTTCGGGAACTTTATGGACGAGTATCTCATAAAATATGTGTTCGGGGCAAAGCTTATTTGGCCCGACCTCATAACCTGAGTAGGGTCACCCACATACGCATACCCTGACAGGCTTGATGTGTGGAAGTGGCATCCCCGGTCTAGTTGCCAACCGGCGAGGTACTAAGATTCCAGTTTCTCAGAAAGGATCTAGACACGTAAGATTATCATGAACCATCCCAATAACGATCGGGACGCTGGGCGCACGACTCAATCTGCGTCCCTGGTTCTTTATTAGGCGTACAAATTGCCCGAGCAATAGTACCGTTCCGCCACTCGGCGATGGGATTGATTAGCAGGCCGGATAACGACAATGACGGGTTAACGGTTCGGGCTTGAGACTGTATTGGACGGAAGGCGCAGCTAGTGTTTACGTACTTGGAAGTGCCTGACCAATGTAGTAGTCTAGCTATGCTCGCCCACATACAACCAGATAACTGAAAATTGAATACGTCGTGTCTTAGTCACATCGAGGTACTGGTGATCAACGAACTGAGCGAATTACATTGCGGGATAAGGAACCCGTCTAACAGTTTTTCATAACCTTGGCGATAAGCGTGAATTAAGCTGGACGGGTAACGCGCTCGCAGGGGACAGTGTCTAGTGACGGTCGGGTAACCAGCCGGCACTAGATCACAATGATGTGTCCGAGGTGTTGCATGGCATGGGCATTGTGCTCGAGCCCGGAAAAAGAGAACAAACAACTAAATTACATGCTGAATTTATTATGGGCATTAATCGGGAGCCTGCATCGTCGGCTGTGCTGCATGGGCTCGAATTCCCACTATTGTTGTGTGACGCTGAGGAATAGACCTTCGAATTTTGGGGACGCCACAAATGGTGCAAGAGCTTATGGAACTAGGATCCGAGCCAAGCATAGCCCAGTCCACTAACACGAGGCTATGTACCATATCTTTGATTTCAGCAGACCCGTAGGGACTGATGGGTGAAGGGCCCACCAGTTAGCATGAGGGCTTTGTGTTCGGTAAACGTACCGACGATATTGAAGAAGCTGATGGCTCAGACAAACACCTTCGACGCTACGGCCTCCTTGTCGTACCGCAAAAATGAATAGAATAAGAGGAATAGAGGAGGAACCGAAAACGGGCTTCCCTCGCACCACTGGGGGGGGCGTGTGATGTCAGGCGTTAAAGGAGATCTCTAGTGTACCTCAAGACTCAAGAAAAAGCGGGACCCATAGCAGAATGTCATACTACAACCTGCTATCGATAAACCTGCTGAAGCCCGTGACGGATAAGACCCCATACCTCTATCGTTCCGGGAAACCGTGACGGGTTTTCATGATGGGCATGTGCATCCGCTGTGCAACTAGCCATAGCAGTGTCGGCCGCGCATTTTAGTGGAAATGAGCATGACCACGATGAATGGTGGAAACATAGGGAACATCTTCCAACCTATACTCGGCTCCGTCCGGTGTGGGTCTTCCAGGGTAATTACGCGCTGCCTTTTAGGGGTTAGAAGCAAATCAAACGCCCGATTAGAGCCTATATCATACAGTGACCTAGTTATTAGCTAGCGGTCACAAATCAGGAGAAGCGGCATGAGCCCGCCACCCTGTTAGCCTTGCGGCACTGAACACAAGACTCATAACGGAAGGTACTGGACTCCCAGCAGGGGTACGGGCCTCATACGTAGGTTAAGCCCGGAGGGTCGGAGAATAACTTTGCATATTCGGGTGCCGTAATGTGTTTTCAATAAAGAACCCACCACGCAGCCGGCAATCGTTTGAGAGCGGGCGTGTTACTCTGGGCTATGAGGCCAATCACGGCGACGCATTCGCCATCCCGCCAGCTTGATAGTGGGTCTTGGTACATAAGAGATCGGCTCTGCAAATTCCCGGATCTCGGTTCACCCTTGATATTTTTGTTCTCTGCTCCCACTAGCAACCTCAATCATACTCTGCCCGCCTGCTAGGTTGACCACGCTCTTCGCTGATCGAATTAGAACCGTACCCACTGACCAGTCTGAACCTGGGAGGGGGACTAGCTAGGAGCTTATACAATACGTCTCCTGTGGACGCAAACTAGACCTTTCCTAATTCGGGGAGTGCGTCGTCCTTTCCCGTGGATCACATGTTGCACCTTGGGCAGCCATCATATGTCCATGCCAGGGCGAGTTCGGTCAAAACTCACGCGTCGGGAAAAACTGTACCACTTTGGAGAACGCGTGTGGTTGGCGTGCAGCGCGTTACCTATATATTACTTGAGAAATAGCGCCATCGAGCATATTTCCTGCCACTTAATGGTTCCCCCGACAAGAAACGAAGTCGTTTGTGCCTAATGAGAAATAATGCAAATAATCGGCAATCGCCCGGTGAAAGTACTTGTCCTAAGACGCGGCCCCAAAACTGAATCGCATCATCTGTTGGAGAACTAAAGTTTTACTGCAGAATCTCCAGACTCTCATGATATAGCACGATGAGAAAATTGCGGCCGACATATGGGCGCAGTGCAGCGCTCTGGGACTAACAACCAACCGAGGGAATTATGATGCAGCACACAAGGTGAGTCTAACTGAAAAGAAGGATCTGAAGGAACCGACACACAGCGCTGCGGGATCTCAAGACCAGGTTGAACATGGTAGCAATCATCCCGGTATTCTCGTATGCGTGATACTACGGTTGCCGACGCATAGGAAGAACAAATTTCTAGTTCAAAAATTTTCTCACGGGACCTCTTCGTTTGTCGCCGCCAGCCACATGGGGTGGGTTACAATCCAAGGACATAGCCTCTACGGGACACCAATCGATGGGCGCGTGCACTGACCTAGTTGTTTCATAAAAACTTTTGAGACTGAATTCGTGTCTTCTGCACTAGCCCTGGAGATGCGGGGAGATCTCCAGGTATTTCCTGGGGGACCGCATGTAGGTAATTTACAGCCCCAGAATATACGGAGGCAAAGACCTCATTTATACTGTTAGAAGATCTACGGGACTGCACGCCCTCACCGATTTCGTAGGGGGGCTGCACTACACCATTACTGTAAAAGAGAAGCGTCACATTTCCGTACGATTGACTTTATGTAAAATCCGATTCGCATAGGGTGATGCTTGGGAACACTCCGAAATCAGTCTCCGAGCGATAAGGTCGGTGCGGCCCCGGATCCATACTGCATAGAGGTGAAGTGTATTTTGGGGATTGATGTAAGATTTAGTTGGGGGTGTATCGGAGTTAGTTGGTTTTCGGGACGGGCAATCTGGGAAAAATTGGAGCCTTAAATGCTCCGCTCTGGGTAGGAATAGCTCTGCAGTAAGCCATTTGCCTTGGATCGATTCATTGCAAAATCGTGACGGATGAATGAGTATACCGTGTCCATATTGGGATCGACGTGAACTCCTACCCCATACTAGCCGATCTTATCGCGGCCATATAGCTAGCCCCAACAATGGCTCGCGCCGTCTTAGAGGTAAAGTCTCCTAAGGATTATCTTGAGCGAAGGAAATACGTCAGTAAGGGGTAGGAGCGGGAATTAAGTATTCTGGAACTTTCAGCGGAGAGAGACGCGCACGGGTTGGCATCCTGAAGGAAGGAGCTCAGCGACTTAAATGGCATTGAGGACGCGGCTCTATGCCCTTTTGGGGTCGTGTTTTCGATTACGGGTCTAGGACGATCACCGAGTGACTGACCTTCGATTCCTATTCGTGTATCGATTTAACTAAAACTGTATCACACCCTCGAACACACCGGATGGCGGGCAGTGACTATCTATGGGAACGCTGGTCGGGATCGTAGACGATGCCTTGGGAATGGCGGGGCTAGAATCGCTATCACCCCAATATCGCCCTACTTGCGCCTACAGCCCGTGCTCTTCACTCCACGTAACTGCAATGACGGCGGAAATAACGAACCGCCGCACTAACCCCTCTGCCCTTTCAAATAAAGTATTTCCCCAATCTGCGGCCTGACCCTGCTAATACTCCTGATGCGAACCCTCTTACCCATGAAGAAATTCTGTCATACCTCTCCTGCCCGACTAGACATCGGTCTAAATTATCGTCGTCTCTATGAGAGGTAAAATTCGATGAGGGGTCAGAGTGGTTGAGTTGAAGCACACTTAGCCTCCCGCGCGTGAGCTGGGCCTCTCGCCAGCACCAAAGATTATTTTTAACCAACATGAATAAACGTTAATGGATAGTATACACCAGGGTGGGAAGTAGTATTGTCGAGATCCCTGTAATCGGCGTTTGAATTCGTTCTGCTGGATCACCCGGTGTGCAGACGGATCAAACTGGTCTCCCCGACATACCTAATATCGGAAGCCAAGTAGACTGCACAAGTGCTGTGATATGGAACTCGCTTGCCAATTCGCAAAACCTTGTCTAACAATTCACAACCACTTTTTTTATTAACAGCGTACTTTGGAGGGACTTGCATTGGAAACACTGACAGATTCAGCTAAAGCATGAAGAGATTAGGGATCCGCTACGTGCTCGACTCTTCCCACATTAGGGGTCTGAGGACCTTAGGTGTTCAAGCCTGGTAAGTAAATAACCTTTAGATTATATAGGGATCGCTTCCTTCAAGTCATACCGGCAAATAACCCTGTTCTATGGAGTGAGAAATCAATAAGCATGGGCAGGAGCAAAAAGTAGCTAAGAACTGAGTTTTGGCTCACGCATGTCTCTAGAGACCTCTCGTGAAAGCCATTCAGTTGCGCGTGGTACAACGAGGGTCAATTTTATTTGCGGGTGTGTATTGGCAATTGGACAGCTCCCAGCTCTCTCAAATATTGTTCGCATCGTGACAAGTTACCACCGTCTAGAGGTACACGTGTTTACTCCTTTAATAGGTTTAGTGCGGAATGATCATTGCAGCTGTGACGTGTTCCCAAGGTGGATGGAGCTACCCCACTCCCGCGGTGGGCGTGGCCGTACGAAAAGCCGACGCACAATGGTTTTTACAGAGGATATATAGGAAAGACAGTACAATGTCAGGTTCTTCCGGGCCATCCATGTATTAGTAGAACGCCCGCTCGCGTATTTTCGCTGGTAGACATATGAACGTAAACCGGACCTGAGAGTTAGGGCGGCAGAAGGGATATACGGCACATCCGCTGTTTGAAAAGTAACCGGCGTGTTCATACTTCCATACCTGAAAAAGAGGGGCACTTTTAGCGTAAGAGAGGTACGCGCATGCGGAGTGGCAGGATAAAGAACATAGAACCCATCAATTGTGGCACCTTCAATCGGGATTTTATCGTCCCAACAGGGGGGTAAAGTCCCGGCTACTATGAGTACGGTTATCATTAAAACAGCACGGGAATACGATTTCTCCGCCCTGCTCTTCGAGCCGCGCCAAAGGTATCGTTAAAGGGAAGTTATCTCGCATTAATGAGGAGGCGGAGTAGGGATGTGTTAACCGACCAGGCGGAGGCCTGTACACCCCTAACAGTTAACTTAAGATCCTGGTGTTGAATAGAGTGTGTAGTTAGGAAGTGCGCTGTCCGTCCCGCCGGGCCGTTGGTCCTCCTGTGCGAAGACCGATGTCGGCGCCGAAATGATCATACCGTCTAGACACTCGCGGATGATCGGGATGTCATCCCCGACGGCCATATGAGATGAGCGGATTCGGGGCAAGACCCTGATTTCTTGGGCTCTTCGCCGAGTAGTCACATTATATATGAAAACGCTATTTTCCATCCAAGGCTATTGGGATCTCGCAAGTGTGAGTACGCTGTGCTCATGTTCGACGCGGTTCTTGCGACTATTCATCCAATTTGTGGGCCTTGGGATTCTTTATTTGGAAGCTTGAATGTGCTCGAGGTTCGTAACGCAACTCTACGGCGGCAGGTTGACACACGCGCCCTGATGGTCTAGCGATATCTCAACGCCCGAGGAGCCGACTCAGAGTTAGTCTGTAGTCTCCCCAAAACAAACAAGGATCAGGAGGACACGGGGTTGTATTTAAGCCCGCGAACAGTATCCGCGGTAGGAGCCAATTCACTACTAGGCTATACATATGGCCTTGGACCAGGTTCGAAGCGTGGGGAACCGCACTATTTAAGCTACACTCGGGGTTATTTGCGAGAAAGTTCCGCGATGCGAAAGGAGCTCGCTATTTAGGTGCGTACTCACTAGGTCGGGGCCAGACCCCGATGGGAGTTTATGGTTTGTTTAATGTCATTGTTGTTTCGGTGACCACGATAACCCGCGGAGGTCTCTTGCGGCAGATAATTTGGGTTCCGCTGCGGAGCAAGCCAACTGCGCATTGAATTACCCGTATAGATAGTCGCCAATACTAGATACCTTTAGCGGTACAACCCCTGGCTGTAGTCACAACCGCCGTATACAGAGAATAACTCGACGCTAGATAGTCAGCCTAATTGATAAACTGGAATTTCCACTGACGACGAGCGACATATCTTCCAATGTCAATATATTTTGCATCGAATATGTGGCGAAAGTTAGAGTGATTGCACGAAAGTTAGTATTATTTCCGCATTAATAGGACAGTCGGCACAACTGAGTTTCTTTGTCAGGCGGGCATAAAGGGAAATTATGAAATCATGACAGGGGTTAGTCGACTACAAAGGCCCCGCGAATAAGCGTGTTATATGTTGACATGTCGAGTCAAAGAGTGCAAACTCGATCACAGGCGAGATTGAACGCACGTCCTACCTACGGTTCGGACGAGCAGAAGACACCCGGTATTAGTTTTTCATTAAGCTATCTCTGAATATGTTGTTCGTCTGGAGCAGCAAGCGTTAAGTGTCTTGTCGCCCGCATACCTTTCGGGTATAGGTTGCAGCTACCCATCGTATCAGGTCCACGCCGTTTTAAATTGGAACTCTCGACTCGAGGGGTGAGGCCCACTTACCCCCAACACTGTAGAGAAAAAGGTCGAGGCCGTTCAAGAGAGAGTTGCGAGCAGACAAGGATTGGCGGTAGGCGCTAAGGTCCCGGGCAATCAATCTATTTTGTCCCAGGATTTGAGGTAATATTAGATCGAAGGCGTACGTCTCTTTATATGTTTTATTCGGTGAGTATAGCAGAGAGGATCAACACTGATGGTATTAAGCGACTCTGGGCTCCCGGTCGAAACTGGGATCACATTTCTCAACCTGTAGTAGGGGCGACGCGTACTAGTGCTGCAGACAGACTCAGAGGAGGGACGGTCGAATCCTTCGAAATACTAGGTAGGTTGCCGATTGGCTTGGCGTATGTGCACAACTAATATTTCTAATACGCTCCTGCAATTATACAAAGCGGGCCGTATGTTTGCGGATAGTTAGCAAAGTTAATGTGAGCGTTTTTTTTATGGTATTGTCGTGAATAATCGATTATCAGAAGGTGAGAGAAAGCGATGAGAGTGTTAGAAAAAATCCTCTTCACCGCCAATGCTCCTGTTTAATTGGTACAAGCCGCCAACTGAGAATACAGTCTCAACAACGAAGCAACAGGTGATTATAAGCGCGCCATAAAGACCAATCAGACGTAAATTAAGCCAGTTATGGTGGATATTAATATCCATGACCACGTATCCCTCAAAGCCGCACAAAAATGAGCACTCTAGTGACAGATACGCCATTCAGCATCTAAATGATCTTCTCCTAAGAACGTGTGTGATACACCCGCACGGTTTTTGTGGATGTACACTACGAAACTCAAAGTTAAATGGAACAGTCACAGACAGTTACTACCGTTACTTAAAAAAATCTGGGAGAGTAAGATGAACCATATCCTACGGAGTCACGCAGCCATACCTGTGGCAATTTTGAGGGAATTCAAAAGTTTTACGTATAAACTAAAGTTATACGCTTGGTCATGGACTAACGAGCGAAGACGAGGCAAAGCTGCAGCTTGGACGAACGCGCGGTCTTTTCTCCTGGTGGGTCTGGCCGCTAGGATGGGGGGAGTCATTCCCGGGAGTACTCGGACGTCACAGGTTGTGCCATTACCGTCCTACAGAGCTGCCTTGCCCGTATTGTGTTGTTTCTCGAGTTTGCATTTCTTCAACAATATACCATATTTCGACTGATGCCCAAACGATACCGCATTTCCATTAACGACACCGAACTGCCTATTACAAGTGGTTGTCCAGGACACCGGTATTTCCAATACCTTTCCGTGGCGTGAGGTGTCAAGAGTTGGTAAAATCTACAGAAATAATGAGCACGCAACAGTGAGATACGCAGAAGCAGCATGGTCCGCTTCGATTATCGCGGTCATAGCGGGACGTCCTTATCCGCAAAGCTTATTAGCACGCTACTACTCGAGGTCAGAATTTGTTTGTCAAATTTATTTCCGACGCCTCGTGAGGGGAGTCGAATGGTAAGCGTCATGGCCTATAAGCATATCGACAACCTAAATACCAGGGTCCTGCTGTGTAACTACGGTATTACATCTTTATCTGGACAGGTAGACGGGCCGTAGACCCGACAGTGGTCGTTACGGCTATCTGACCTTGGTGATAGTCCGCTGTGAACCAGACACCGCTTATATACTTCGAACGAGTGACACAGAGCAGGTAGTTATGGTATATGCATTATCGCAATCTGGAAATCACAGTCCGACCGTAACGCCGAGCGCGACTAGGCAAGGAAGGCCTCCCGAGTACCGCTTTTAACAGGTTTAAATGCTGGCCTCGTAGCCGTAGGTGCAAGGGGTGTTTTTCTGACGGCGGTCGGTTATACGGGGAGATAAACCACAGTTAGGCCACATCTCTTTGTGCTTCAAGTCAGGGTGACGTCCTAGGACTAACACACAAAGCGGGCGCTCTGTTCAAGAAAGATTCGGCTCTGCATACTCGATACCCTTTGCGCACGATCAGAAGCGTCTCTGCTGCCAGATAACTCAACGATGAGATGTGGAGCCCGCAGTGACAAATGCTGATTTGTGTTCGGGGGGCAATGTCACATGGTGCGGCATCAGATCTACCACAACTGCTCTGTTTTACACACCCGATAGCCCGTTTACATCACTCCAGAACCTCGTCCCCTGGCCGCATTCAGCCAACGGATTGACATCCTACTCCTGTATCTAAGTGTGCCATTCATGACATGGAATTATTCTGTAATTCAAAAAACATCGTAGTGAATTTCTTCCGGGAATCAGTCATCGAACCGATCAGGAACACGGACACGTACCGCGACATGCCGCGCGTGACACTGGGCTCCTTGTCAACTAATACACTGTGCGAGACTCGGGCGAATTTGGTTGAGTTAAGCAGCAGTAGAGTCTTGGGTAAAATGATAAGGTATCGGTTGATCCCGTGAGCTTCCGCCTTCGTGTCTAGCCGCTCCACGTCAATGTGGAAAACAAAAGGACC